TGGAAAAAATTTACAAAAGTAAGGAAATGGCTTTGACATTTGAGAAGAAGTGTTTCTGCATGGTAATGTATCCATGGATCCAAGCGTTCAGCATACAGTGCAAATTAACAACATCCACTGCAAGTCTTTTATTCAATATCAAAGTGAACTGTGTTTCCAATATAATATCAATATATTATAATATAATATCAATATATTATGCCTTCATTTCACTGGGCACCTGGTGGCACAACATGTGATGTTATAGGTATCAACTGTCCCATGCAAAATTTTTATTTGTCCTTTAAAACTGTCAATAAAGATTTATTATATTGTGCTTTGCTTTGATTAAAAACAAACAAACAAAAAAGCCCAACCCCAAAACCCAACAAATTCTGTTCAGTTATGTTGATATCCTTTGACCAAAAAAGTGTAGAGTAAATAAAAAAATAATAATAAAAAAATTTACCACCAATTTAGTGGATGTGTCTTACTGTTTCTAAATGAATACTGGGGATGCAGCATCTTCCTATAAAGCTTTAAAGCCTACAGTAATTCTGGCAACATTAAACTTTGTTTGCTATTTTAATCACTTTGTCAATAAAAGTACGCCAGAGCATAATTTTCCCTTGATATAAATATGCAATTAATGTTAGTACTAATAGATTCTATGCATGAACACAGAAAAAAAGTATGTGATTCTGTAATCTTTGACAGGCACACATGAACAATTCAGTCCTGGCAAAACCAAGTAATAATCACAGGCAAAGAAATTACCACAGCCCAACTCATCATACAACATAGCCACTGATAAAACAAATGGTGGGAAAACCAATACTGGAAAGAGTTCAAAGAAATAGATAAAGTTCTGATTCAACACTGAGATGCTGATCTTGCTCATGGTGTTTCCATGCACTTCTTTTAAGCACACAATCACAGCAACTGCTTTAACTACACTGCAGAGTTATATACTAATTAATAACATTAAAAGCACCATTGCTAACCAAACAAATAAGTTTCTTATTGCAGATTAATAACTGGATTGTTTCCCAAGTTGCTTGCAAAAGGAAAAATGCTTGATATTTTAAAGTATTTGCATTGCTACCATGGATCATTTTTTATTCCTTGCAAAAGTTAGTAGAACTATGCTCACAACTAGATTAGAACAGACAGTATATTGTTCAAAACATGCACGTGGGCAGGTTTGCTTGCAGAGAGTTCCAAGAAACTGAGACTAGCTACCTCTCTGGGCTGTGCCATCCTTCCTGCTTTATCCCTCTCTGATGTATTCACATTGCAAGTTTCATTTTGCCTTAAGTAGGTTTTAGATCAGCCTTTATGCTCAGATAACTCCTTCCCTCTGTAAAAGGCAAGACTATCATTACCAGTATGTTTTCTATGATATATAACATATATAAAAGCATACACACATTATATACTCATCTATATATCACCAAGATGTTTCACTTGATCCCAATATACTGTGGGATTTCTTTGTTGCTACATATATTCTAAAAATGAAGGAGCACTGACATTTCTAATTTAAAAGTCCATAGTCTGGAAAGAGAGAGGAAAGTGGGATCAGGGAATCTACCATGGGTATTTCCACAAAGTATCTGCAAGTAGAATTATTGTAAGAACTTTGATCCTTTGTCAAATATTCAATTTACACAGTTTTCAAACATCAGCTTATTCAGTTGAAGAATGCACTAGAAACTTATCCTTTACATTAATTTTTGTGAGATAAAACATTTATTGGTACAGTCTTGAGTGCCACTTTCCATTCTCATCACTCCTCCCTCTAAAAGAAGGCTTTTTCTTTTTTTTGGGGATTTAATTAAGAAATTAATTTGTAAGATTCTTTATCAAAGGGAAATACGGTCTTGTCCTGTATCTCCCACTGGAACAGAATGCTAATAATCATTAAACTTTTTCTGGCAAAATTTTTAAATACAACTCAGCCTGAAGAGAGAAAAATATTTTGCCATTTGCTGCTCAATTCTCAATTCACTTTAAGTTGTCCAAAGGAGCAAATGTCTTCCTGATACAACAAAGAGCTGAGATCATATGCCTGATATAATTCAAAATTAAAGTTACTAACACCTGCTTTCTTAGCTGCTCACATCAGAGGCTGCCACAGGAGCAGCCACTTTTTAAGCTCTGGGTTGGGAACATGCCTGAGCTGCTGTTATTTCTCACCTGAAGCTGAGATAATGTTCTGAGAGAACCCAGTGAAGCACTGATTTGAATGCAACTGTGGAGTTTAGCTGTGAACAGGCATCAGGAACCTTCTACAACATAAATGGGAAGAACAGCACAGGGCTGTAATTTGCCAGGTTTGTAATTTGTGTTGGAGTTTAAGCCAGAAGTGAAGCTGAGCCAAAGAGCTGCCGTGCACAGCCCCTGAACACCACCAGAGCCCCTGGCCATGCTGGGGACTGCAGGCACGACACAGAATGTGACCAGCAACCCCCTGAGAGCAGCACACACAAAGTGATGCCTCCTGCTTCCTCAGCAGGATGGGACCCACTCACCACCAGCTCCGTCCCAAAACACCGCGCCTAACTTCAAAATGAAGTTTGAGAGAACTTGCAGTGCTTTGCTCACTGCACAGCTATGTTTTATTAATGACAAAAATGAGTTAATTTACAAAAATTGCACTCCTTTGACTGTATTTAGTCGAGAGTAAAAAAACTCTAATTATGAGATTGTGCTGTCAAATAAATGCAAATTCACATCTTTCATATTCTGGGTTAAAAGCTCAAACTCAAGTCTATTATAAATTAAAATCAATACTTGAAACATTTCAGCTTTCAGTAATAAGCAACAACCAAAAGAAACAGGTTATGAAATATACTGGTAGAAGTAGAATGAATTATTAAATAAAAATTGGGAGAGTAAGGCATTTATATTGCACACATTTAAATATCAATTAGGAATAAAACCAATAAAGGATGATGAACTGAATCATCTCTGTTTTACAACCAACCCTCTCTAAAATTGACTGAGGGTAACAGAAACTAAGCTTGCAATGTAAATTTTATTCAATTTCAAATAGGTTAAAATTTTAATTTATTAACTCGCTGAAATTTACAATCTCTGAACTTAAAATTAATAAGAAATGCATTTATAGAAGTAAATGTAATAGAACAGTGCCACTTGCTATGCACAGCATGCTAGTAACCTCCTAATGTAAAAATCCAAGGACCTACTCAGAGAAAACATAAAATTGCACAGAAAAAAACAAAAAAAAAAACCAAACCAAGAAGTTTAAGAGCTGCTTATTTACTGTATTGCAAACAATTTCTTCACAGGAGTAATGGCCAGTTATGCATCAATGAATAGAGTTCAAATCTGACTTTTTTGTCTGTGTCTAGATGATATTTGTCATCTAGAGCCCTCCAAGTCACCACAATATCCTGTCTAACCTCATGAAAGTGCTACAGAAGCTGCAGTGTGGAGATAGCAAAGCCTTCAAGCAGCCATTTAGAGATACTCAATATTTTAAAAGTACACTGCAAGCTGTAACTATCTCACATCTTTACCACTCCTTCCAAGAAAACTTGAAATAAAATACTCCAGTAAAAAAATAACTTAAGAGAGACTAATCTTCCTTTAAACAGCTTAAAATCAGCTTTTTTCCCCCCTACGCTGGACAGGTTCTAAGTATCTCACAGCAGTAGTCACTGTGGATGGTGTTACCCAGGATGAGTATCAGCAGTTCAGCTACTTTTGATGCTTAACAACGATTGTTATTATTTATCCAGGACTGATTACACAGATACCTGAAATCACCAGCGCAGGTGGGGCTGGCTGAGTGACAAGCACTTGGAAGAGGAGTTTGCTAAGCCCAAGAACCACAGTTGCTGCTCAGGACGGATGAGTGCACACATTTGCTGGGTGCAGAGGCATCCTGCTGCTCCTGGAGGATTTGCTGGGAAAGGACAGGTGACAGCTTGGTCTCCATCAACAGCAAAACACCAAAGCTGCAGCCCCAGAGAGCAGCTTCCACCTAAACCAGGGTTCTGAATCCTCAGTCTGCTCTCTGCCCCCAGGCTTGGCACAGGGGGCACGTCCAGGCTGGGACTCCCCAGGGAGTGACTTCTCCTTGTCCATCCCAATGCCCAACACCTTCTCAGCTGCTGCAGTCAGAGAAGGAGGATCCACGAGCTCCAGCTCCGTTCCTGCCATCCCACTCTGCCTCAGAGTCCCTAGTAAAGTTCTTGTTGTCTGCTCATGCAGAAAGCTGCAGAGCAGCAGTGTGTAAGACCTGACAGTTCTCTCTACATCTCAAATGCCTTCCATGATGCTGAACAAAACCCAGCTGTTTAAAACACAGCTCAAAAGACAATAGAGACAAGGTGCAGAATCACAGCTGATTTCCTCTTGGACACATTGCTGTCCTAATATGTTAACTTTAACATTAATTGCAGTAAGGGGGAAAAAAAATCTTAAAAATTTGTATGACAATCCATTTGTGCTTTTCTCTTCCCCCCTAAATTCCCCCCACCCCCCTACTTTTTTTAAAAACCCTTTCTCTCTTTTGCTTGATGGCTTCTTTAATGGATGAAAGCAAAGATCACTATGCTTTCCTTCCCTTAAGGTGAACCTTCAGAGTATATAAATTGCCTGAGTAAATAAAAGAAAGGAGGGAATTACTAATTTAATGCTCTTCTATCTCTTGGGGAAAAAGCCCATGTAATTAACTGTAATGAGATTAAACTAACTTGTTGTTATTAATTTCCCAATGCTGGGAAACTATATCAGAGACCAGTAAGGCTGTGTATTAACCAGCTTTATCAACATTTGGCTTGTATCCTTCAGTTTTCATATGAGTTTTAAAGGAAAATGTTTAACTTCATCGAGTTGCAAAGCCACTCAGAAGTGTAAGACATTAAATCTGGTCCCTTCAGGTAGGGACACGAGATGCATCTGCAGCTGAACACCGTGAATGGGTGGAGCCAAAAACAACAGATGCTACCTAAACCAGATAAACAGAAGAATAATTATTAAATTCTTACCAAAACTTTTTTCCATTACTTCTTTCTGACACATATCTTGAACATTCACTGTACAATTCACGATGAACTCTGGAGAGGAGCAGTCATTATTTAGCTGGAACTCCTCACACTGGTAACACTGTATTTGCAAACCCGAACCTGAAACAGATAGAGATTTGTTCAAAATCACAGAATGCTTTCTTTTGGAAAGGACCTTATAGATCATCTCATCCCGAGCCATCTGCTCAACCGGGTTGTTCAAAGCCCCATCTACCCTACCCTTAAATAATAGCAAGAGTATGATAAAAAAAAAACCCAAAACAAACAAAAACCAGGCACCGAAGAAAACCAAACAACCAACACGTGCCAGAAATCTTCCTTATCTTTCACCCTTCGCATTACGCTGTTCCTAGCTACTCCACAGCTCAGCCCAAGTATCCCTTTGACAAATATAAAGTAAAACAAGCGTGCCGCCCGCTCATCAGCTCTGCCGATGCTCCTTTCCGCGGGGCGGCCGCTCCGGCGCTGGAGACACCGCCGCCAGGAGGCGACGGGCACCGGTACCGGCATCGACACCGGCACCGGTACCGACACCAATACCGGCATCACCACCGGTACCGACACCAACACCGGCACCGACACCGGTACCGACACCGGCATCGACACCGCCACAGCCCCGCAGAGAGCAGCCCAGCTCCTAGCTACGCTCCGGCTCTTATCTGTGCCGACGGGTTTACTTAGCTACTAATTAATTACAAATGATTTAATTACTATTTTGGCATGCACAATTAAAGCGGCGGAGCATCCCTCGCCAGCCGCCTTTATCATGCAAACGAGGCGCTGCGCAGGGCTCGCCAGCAGCGTTCCGCCGGGGGCTCCCGCAGCCCTCGTCCCGCGGCGGGGACCCCCGGCCCGTGCCCGCCCTCCGCTGGGAGCGCTGCGGCGGCGGGAGCGCCTCTGGCCCCGACCCACGGCATCCGCCGACAGGCTCCGGCTGCTGCGCCTCGCCTCGCCCGGCCCCGCGGGCAGCCGGCGCTGGGGACAGCGGAGGGGAGCTCTGCGGGCCGCGGGCAGGACGGGAGCTCCGCCGCCCCGTTCCTTTTCTAGCGCCCGCTGGCAGCCCCGTCGAGGGGCTACGAGGGGACGGCGGCTCCGAGCGCCGGGCTGGCCGCGGGCGCCTCCGGGCGAGCGGAGTGGAGCGGAGCCCTTACCTGGCGCCAGGCACAATCCCCAGAAAGTTGCAGCGAGGAGGAAGAGCCGCATCCTCCCGGAGCCGCGGCCGCCGGGCTGGCGAGCAGTCGCGAAGGGGCATCAGAAGCAGAGATGCAGCGGAGGCGCCGCGCACTTGTGCCGCTTCCCCGCCGCCTCCGCTGCGGAGCGGCGCCCCGGGAGCAGGCGGCGGAGCCCGCCCTGCCCAGCCCCGCGCCGCGCTCCAGCCTCGCCGGAGTTGAGCGCTGAGACTGTAAGAAACTGTAGGAGAAGCGAGAGCTGGGGGGCGGCTCCCCCCTCCCTCCCCCAGCACCATGTGATGCCGGCGGAGCGGGGCGGGGATCCCCGCCAGCTTCCCCGCACCTCGCCGGGCGCGCCGCGGGGACGGGCGAAGTTCAGCGAGGGAGGGGAGCCCCCCGCTCCGCCGGCTCCGGCTCGCACGGCGCTGCCGAGGGGCCCCGCCACCCTCTCACACCCCCGGCCTCCTCCTCGGCTCGGGCACAGACCCCGCGGCCCGGCCCGGTCCCTGCCGTGCCCACGCCCGCCCGAGCCCACAGGTGGCGGCCGGAGCGCGTCTGTGGGGGCTGGCGGGCAGGCCGGCCTCCCACAGCCGCCTCCAGCACCCACGTCCCCGGCAGGGACTGAGGGGAGGCGCGGCCCCGCCGTTCCCTCCTCCCAGCCCCCTAAAAGGGAATTCAGGCGTAAAAAAACGGGGGAAAAGGGCGCGGTGGCCGCGTACGTGTCGGAGCGGCGCTCAGACCCTGCCTCCGCCGCGGACACACGGCGGGATGGGATGGAATGGGGCGGCAGGAGCTGATGGTGGGGCGGGACGAGGTGGGATGGAGCGGGATGGGGCAGGACGGGGCGGGACGAGGTGGGATGGGTCGGGACGAGGTGGGATGGAGCGGGATGGGGCAGGACGAGGCGCGATGGAGCGGGATGGGGCAGGACGAGGCGCGATGGAGCGGGATGGGGCAGCCAGAGAGGCGAAGAAGCCGCCGGGACTGGGCAGCGCCCGCCCGTGGGGAGGGAAGGGCAGCGGCGGCCGCGGTGCTGCTCCCACGCCGGCCCTGCTGGGACCTCTCTGTGGGTCGCCTCCTCTCCGGATAACCGCGTTATTTCCCAGTGATCGTTTCCCAGCTCTGCTCCAAGGAAGAGTTAATTCAGCTAAAATCGCTGTTTAACAGCCCCGTGTCACGAATTCTCCGAACGCCGCCTGGCCGTGCGCGGTCCCGGAGCTCGGTGGGTGCCCCCGACCCCTGCACGCCCGGGCTGTCGCAGCATCCCCTCCCCAAAACCCCTCAGCAGGCACCGCTAGGCAAGAGAAGTTTTATTTACGAAAGATGTTTCAACGAAAATTTCTTAAAAGTTGAAAAAAGACGATGCAAGTTTACGGCAAAAATTACTTAAAATATAACAAATTGCACAAAATATTAACACTGATCATACAATATTTCAAAGATTAACAAGGGTGTGCTAAAGAAACCGTAGAGTCTAGAAATACCCCAAATATATCTAGTTTACAATTGCTGTACAAAAAACAGTTATAAATACTTCACATCTAGAAAAAATACACAGAACCTTTGAAATAGACTCTCCGTTACATATAAACAACCTTTGTAGAAAAAAACAAAAACACCCAATGCAAGCCAATCCCCCCTGCTCCCAGATATGTTTGAACTAGTACTGGTTAGCACCAACGTCTTAGTGTGTCACAAACAGGAGTTGTTTCGTTTTTTAAAAAATAATCTTAGTGTTCAGAATATACTTAAGACCAGACAGAGACTAGAAAAGCTAACACAGAATGGTACATTCATAATTTGATGGGACATGAGTACAGAGGAGGTGGAAGTTGAAAAGCCACGTTACAGTCAGAAGTACAGGGTGGTTCATGTGGCTCTCATTCCTACAAGACTCCTGTTTGTGTCAGCAGTGAATTGCTTTGACCCTGATCTTTCAAACAGTTATGTGCATGATTGATGAAGCCAATGCCAGCAGTATCAGGCTTTAATCTATTCATTTTCTTGCCGTGTCAAAAGTCAAAACCCCTTTGAAATAGGACACCTGTTGCGAAGTTGTAATAACTGAAACGCATGTTTCCCTAGAATACCTGTATGGAATTGCACTAAAAGGAAAAAATGTGTTTGCTAAGAGGAAGTCCATGAGAGTTTATTAAAGACAATCTGGCAGGCTCAAGTTCCTGGTAATGCAGTGTTTCTACATACAGTTTTAAGACTAGGACAATTATAACTCTTTTTTAAAAAATCTACTAGTTTTTCTTGTTAATATTAACACCAATTTCTTTAAGTTAGTAATCTGCCGTTACAGGAGCATAGCACCAATTTAATATTTATTGCTGTCGTGTATCCCTACAAATATATTTTCCCAAGGTATTTACAACTGTACAAATATTCACAAAAGTGCAAAATTAAGACTTTATTCTGTGTATTTGTTGGGTTGGGTGTGTTGAGTCCCACGCACCACCGTGACACTGCCCTGCCTTATTGCTGTGTGGTGGGGGGTCAGAACACCCTGCTGAGAGCACAGTGAGCTCGAGGGGGAATTTTCAAGCACAGTCTCCTCTCCCTCCTCACTCCAATCTCACCTTCAGCTCCATTCCGTGCTGCAGCCCATTGGGAAATGTCACTAAACGTCGTTGGAGCCTTGGCTGGTGCAAGAGGAGAAGCTGTCATACAGGGAATCGCTCAAGGATTCCAAATTGTCCACATCCTGCCGACCCGAGCTGTGCAAGGAGGCTGCTTCTTTCTTTCCATTTTCTTCCTTCTGTCCTTCAGCCTTGTTCAGACAGTTCTTCTCTTCTTCTAATAAAAGTACATTATTGCTGTTAAATTTATTGAGAGACTCCAGGGAAATTTTAGATACTCTGTTCTGGGAATCTTCTTTTGTGTCTTCAGTTTGCTTCAATTTCTGTAAAAGTAAGGGAAATATTGGAAGCATATTCCTTAAAAAGTTATCCTATTGTACACCATTCATTACCATATTTCCAAAGTTCACAGGGTGAGAGGAAATAGATTGTTAGATGTTTAAATAATTGTTATGATCAAATAGAACATTAGTATCCATTTTAGGATAAATCATAACTTTAATGATTCTGCTGAGACAAATAGGACTCCATTTATGTAACACTCAAGTGCTATTAATGTCCTAAGTAGCAGACCCTGGCTCTGCATGTGTTAAACATCTCCAGCATCCTCACAGTAATTTAGATCTTCTCCTGCATGAATACTTTGGGGGTTATGTTTAAATAGGTATTTGGTTAAGTAGAGTTTAAAAAAAAAAAAAAAAAAAAGTGCAGAGGAGAAAACAGCATTTTCCATAAATTAAGGATGCAAATGAAACTTGCTAGGGAATAGCCTCACACTTTGCATGTATAAGCCTATCGATTTCCACAAACCTAAACCCTCTCTAATAGACAAGAAAGCAACAAGACAGGAAATTACACTGAACTGGTCCAATCCCCACAGACCAGAATCAATCAGATATTGGCCAGGCCTTCTTGGAGAAGTGGTGTAATTCTGTGGGAACACTGGACGATGTATTAGCACATTATATTAAAAACTCACAGTAGGATTGTGCCAGAGTAATTTTATCCCTTTGTTAGCTACTGGTATTTTCAATCAGAGATCTGACCAAGGAATCATTTGGGAGCTGGGTAGGGAGCAGCTCAATAAAAATGACCTGCTGTTCATATACAGAGTGTTTCAAAATCTGAGTAACTAACTTCTCTTACAGATCATATTACCAGAGAAATATGGGATAGCATTCACCATTTTACAATCAACAGTCAATAAGCTCCTGGGCAGATAAGAGTGAAGCATTCTGAGATATGCCATCAGAGTGCAGAGCCATTCCTCGTTTTTGGTACTGCCATCAGACGGCAAAGACAGAATCAGTAAATGATTGTAAACACAAGGCATCAATATTTTTGTTTGGCTAGAAAATGAGATGGCATTTGAAGCACACTGAAGATGCAGCTTGGGCAGATGTGGGGATGCTGTGGGTCATTACATGTGCAGTTGTAAAGGGTCCTTAGAACTTTCTGAAGAACTCAAGCTTCAAGTCAGTCAAATGTGCACACTGTGCTGCTTCTCCTTGGAAATCTTTGGTGAGAGGAAGACAAATTATTACATAGTTTGATTGCTTCTTTTGATGGCTAGTTAGATAAAAATTGACATGCCAGTCCAATGACTGTTTTTGCTCTGATCTTGTCACAATCCATAAGATAACAATGCATGGATTAGATTACTGGTTTTGGAAAATGTTTCAAACAAGCTTAAGCAAAGCAACAGAACATCCTGGAGTCTTAGAAAATGAACATTTTCTGCTTGGTGCATTAATTAATATTAAGTTTAAAAGGTTTTAGGGAATGTTGTGTTGGATTCTATTTTTAGATGACAGTTAAAACTAAGGTCTTCAATATCTGTAACTAAAATGTTTTCTGAGCTTGAGGAATATTACCCTTGGTAATGGGAATGAACACAAATTTAAGACCCTACAATAGAAATTTTTCATAATTTCACCTTAAAATGTTCTTCCCTTTGCCCTCATTTGAAATACTGAAAAAGCTGTTTCACTCCTCTGCAGGCCGGATGAGAAAATTCTTGGCCACGGCATCAATAACACACGTTAGCACTTTTTGCTTTTCAGAGTGCTAAGCCTAAAATACTTTATTATATGACAGACAAAATGATATTTCTTTGTCTTTAATTTTCCCACTTCACAGCTTTTCTTTAGGTAAATTGAATGTGACTAGTTAGCACAGACTAGGGACTGCAGGACTCAATACTGGAGTTAGTAAGGCCTGTGATAAAACTCTTATTGATTCAAGTGGAGCCAATTTCAGCTCCTGGGTAGGAGGAGCACAGACACCTGGAGAGTCTGCAGGACAGAGCAGTCTGGGTGAAGCATCACAGTCCAAGGAGGATTTTGGTTATCCTACTGAAGGATGGACTTACACCTCAGGACAGACCAGACTGAATTCACTGGTATATCCTGCATATACGCAGTACCAATAATTTTTTATACCCTTCAGG